ACTTCCAACTATGTTGAATAGGAATGGTGAGACAGGGCATACCTGTTTTGTGCCAGTCTTCCAGCTTTTGCCCATTCAGTATGTTATTGGCTGTGGGTTTGTCATAAGTAGCTCTTATCATTTTAAGATATGTTCCATCAATACCTAGTTTATTGAGAGTTTTTAACATGAAGGCCTTTATCAAAGGCCTTTTCTGATCTATTGAGATGATCATGTGGTTTTTGTCATTGGTTCTGTTTATATGATGGATTATGTTTATTGATTTGCATATGTTGAACCAGCCTTCACATTCCAGGGATGAAGCCAACTTGATCATGGTGGATAAGCTTTTTGATGTGCTGCTGGATTTGGTTTGTCAGTATTTTATTGAGGATTTTTCCATCAATGCTCTTCAAGGATATTGGCCTGAAGTTTTCTTTTTTTGTTATTGTGTCTCTGCCAGGTATTGGTATCAAAATGATACTAGCCTCATAACACGAGTTAGGGAGGAGTCCCTCCTTTTCCATTGTTTGGAATAGTTCCAAAAGGAATCGTACCAGCTCCCCTTTGTACCTCTGGTAGAATTCGACTGTGAATCCATCTGCTTCTGGGCTTTTTTTAGTTGGTAGGGTATTAATTACTGTCTCAATTTCGCAACTTGTTATTGGTCTATTCAGGGATTTAACTTCTTTCTGATTTAGTCTTGGGAGGGTGTATGTGTTCAGGAATTTATACATTTCTTCTAGATTTTCCAGTTTATTTGCCTAGAGATATTTATAGTATTCTCTGATGGTAGTTTATATTTCTGTGGTGTCAGTGGTGATATACCCTTTATCATTTTTATTGTATCTATTTGATTCTTCTCTCTTTTCCTCTTTATTAGTCTAGCTAGTGGTCTATTTTGTTAATTTTTTCAAAAAAACAGTTCCTGGATTCATTGATTTTTTTGAAGGGTTTTTTGTGTCTCTGTTTCCTTCAGTTCTGCTCTAATCTTAGTTATTTCTTGTCTTCGGCTAGCTTTTGGATTTGTTTGCTCTTGCTTCCCTAGCTCTTTTAATTGTGATGTTAGGGTGGCAATTTGAGATCCGTCTAGCTTTCTGATGTGGGCATTTAGTGCTATAAATTTCCCTCTTAACACTGCTTTAGCTGTCTTTTGTTTCTGGTGTGTTGCAAATGACTAGTTTTCAATTCTCTGAACACCACGGACTGCAAATAAGGAAGGCAACAGAGGCAAATTTGGGAAATGAATGTGAATAAGAAAATCAAATTTAATGATACTTCCATCTTTTGTTGCTCATTGGAGAAATACAGATCCCTAAACACTGAGGCCTCAGTGGTCTTTCCCTGCTTGCTCTAGAGCCACATCATGTACTGTACGCCCCCACACTCTGTTGATCTCCTTGCCACGCTCCCACCCTGGGCTTCCATGTGGTGGTTCCCTCATCCCTGACTTATTTAAGCCCTATACTTTCTTCACATCTTTACTCAATCCTCAGTCCTCAGAGAAGCCTACCCTAACCCTTCTGGCAAAACCTAACTCTCCCACTGTGTCAACACAGAAGCCATGCACTCTTCTTTCTAGCACTTTTCTCAACAATGGTTTTATGTGTATTTCTTTATTTTACTAATGTCTGCCTTATTTCACAGCAAAAACCATGAGGGAAAGGATTAGATCAATGTCAATATCTGGTACACAGTAGTTGCTTATACATATTTGATGCATGACTGAGTGAGTGGATGGATGAAGAGGCAGTCACCTAAGAGCAGGGATTTCCATGACCTGGGGTCCATGAATCAGCTTCTAAATCCCCAAACCTGAGATCGTCTGTAGTGATGGGTGGGTTTGCATGGTTTCTAAGGGAAAAGCTCAAAGCTTTTGACAGATTAAAAATATTTAAGGGGTTTCACAGAATATGTTTAATTATATGAAGAGAGAGAGGAGAAAAAGAAAAGAAGAAACTGAAAAAAAACATTTAAAAGGATAAAGGGGAACTTTGTAAATTGGAGCAGCACAGAAGAAGGGTGATAGAGGGGAAAGAATGAGAGGGCAACTGGGGGACAGTTATTCCTGAATAAATTCTCTAAACTAAGTGAGGTTGACTGTATTCAAGACCCTATGTTAGGCACTATCAGGGATTCAAAAAATAGCCAGATGTGACTGCTACCCTCACATCTAAAAGGAGAACATCCTGGGTATGAGTTCAGGGTAAATGGAAGGAAGTGATACAAGAGAGGCTGGGATGGAGCCCTTTGCTAGCCCCGAGGGAGGGAGATTACACATAGCAGTAGAAGAAGGGAAGATGATGGAAGGCTTCCTGGAGGAGGGTAACATTTCAATCTATTCTTAACACATGGATAAGAGTCCAAGGAGGAGGGGAGATGGGGTAGGTGAGCAGTCAGATGAGAGAACATAAACAAAGCTGCTTGTCCAGGACACCAAGGAGCATATCGTATTGTCAGACTCTTGACAACAGCCTTTGTGGAGCATCCGAGCTGGGAGACACCTCCTATGGCCAGTCACAGGCACAAAGCCAGTGGCATCTAGAAGTACCACATGAGACAACCTTACTGAGGCCAGACAGACATGGAGAAGGAACAATCCAGCCCCAAAGAAGATTGAGAATGAATAAATACACAGCCCCCTTAAAACTTCTGGCAAAAATAAACTCCTCCCTTGTCCATAAGTGCTCTTCCCCGCAATACCTCTGCAACTCCTGAAACGGCTCCGCGCTGTCTCCTTTAAAGAGATTGTGCTAATGTGATCCGCAGGGACGCCAATTTCTAGATGTTGTGTTATTGTTGTCCTAAGATTCCTGGGCTTAAGAATTCACCAAATATTTAGATCATATGAGCTCGAAACGTTATGTGACGGGTGTGCATGTTTTCCTAGTTGGTGCCGATTCCCTTTTGACTAGGTCAAGAGTTACGAAAAGCTTCCACTGTGGGAGCAAAGCAAGCTGGGGAAAGGTTGCTAGACCTCAAGACTTTTGCTGGTGTGAAAAGACACCTGCTGTCTACTGTTACTAAATCTTCACCTGGGCCTGTTAAATCTCAGGGCCTCTCTTCTCCCATTTACAAAAACAGCTCCATCTCTCTGGCCTTTCCTAGCTACCCCAAGAACTTAGGTGTCCCCGGCAGTGAGGCACATGGCACTATAGCCCCAGCACAGTTGGTGGAGTAGACCTGGGCTGGGATGACAGCAGGCAGGGGACCGTGATGAGGAGGACAGACGATGGCTCCCCTCTTGTCTCCAGAACACACTTCAGTGAGCATTTCTTGGGAATGAAATGGCTCAGCTTACCCCAGGGACACTCATAATCCTAGACAGCACCCTAACTCTGCGCTTTACCTCCCAGAATAAGTCACTGCGGAGTCAGCTCTGGAGTTCAGTAAGCACGTTGGGTGGGTTTGAGGCAGACTCAGGGAGCCTGTCCAGAGGCGTCCCTGAGGGATGGGATCAGCCTAAGGGCCAGAACACTGGGTGAGTCTGTTTTCATTCTTATTTGGACTGAGATTAGAGTACTTACCCTACTTTATCCAGAACATGTAAGGGACTTCTAGCAGGGTTGGTCCTGAGCAAGACTGTAAAGCAACTCGGTTGAACCTTCAGTGTCTTTTTCTGCTCCCACCTTTCCCATTTGGAGGTGACTCCCCACAGCTGCTTTCCTTTCTCTGTCCGCTCCACCTGCCTGGCTGCCCCTAGAGCTCCAGAACTTTCTGAAATTTTCTGCCTATTCCCTGTCAGAATTTATTTTTTCTAAAACTTGTCCCCAAGACTAAGATGCCCAAAGTGACTCTGATTAGGAAAGTCATGATCTGGGGATAAAAACAATGACTTTTCATTCCTCTTCCCAAATAAAAACTACCTTCGACCACAGAGGCCTTTGGGCCCTTACTGAGTCCCATGTGGAGGTCACAGGCAGTGGGGTGATAGTTTCAGTAGTGCTTACAAAACTCCACAGAATCATCTTTCGCCCATCAGATGTCATAGCTGTACCTAGTTTAGCTCAGGCCTGAGGTTGTGTAATAATTCAGAGCTCTGATGGCAGGTGGTTTCCATCTCAGAACTACCTGGGAGCTTGCTGAGAAGGAACGTGAGACCATTGTCACACGCAGGGGGAAAAGCACTGGAATGGACTGGAAGTCTGCCTGGGGGAACATATGGCACACACTTACAGAGTGTCACATGTCTGTCATCCTTGAGAGGTCATTGTGGACCCTCAAGGGTCCGCGATAGGCATCCACTTACCTCTGTAGCCTGAGGAATGTCATCTGCAGCCTTGCTCCTCAAAGTGGGGACCTTGCTTCTCAAAGCAAGGTCTTTAGAACAGCAGCATCAGCATCACACCAGAGCTCATTAAAAATACAGACTCTCAGCCCCACCCCTTCCCCCAGCACTACCCAATCAGATTCTGCATTTTAACAAGATTCCCAGGGGATTTGTATGCACATGAACAATGGAGATGGCTAGGAGAGGTGGCTCATGTCTGTAATCCCAGCACTTTGGGAGACCGAGGTAGGAGAAGCTTGAGCCCAGGAGTTTGAGACCAGCTTGGGCAACATAGTGAGACCTCGTCTCTCCAAAAATAAATAAATAAATAATTTTTAAAAATTAGCCGTGTGTGGTAGGGAGTACCTCTAGTCCCAGCTGCTTGGGAGGCTGAGGTGGGAGGATTGCTTGAGCCTGTGAGATCGAGCCTGCAGTGAGCTGTGAGTGTGCCACTACACTCCAGCCTGGGTGACAGAATGAGAGACCCTATCTCAAAAAACAAACAAAAAAAAAACACTGGAGACACAGGGCCTTCCTGCTGGTTGTCCCTCCTGAAGGTCCTCACTGGAGGAGAACAAGCTTTGTGGGCCTAGCTTCTTCTACCTGTGCCGCCACATCTTATACCAATCAGCAGGGATAGGACTAGGTCCAATGCAGATGGGGACATTCCCTTCAACCCGCATTTGGGAGGTTTAATGATTGTGTGCCATACCGTTTTTCTGTCTTACCACTATGTTGCTTCTGTCCCCAGGCAATCTATAAGATGGTTTCCTCCGTAATGAAAATGCCTGAAGATGAGTCAACCCCAGAGAAAAGAACAGAAAAGATCTTCCGCCAGATGGACACCAATAGAGATGGTAGGAGGCGGGGGCTGCACTGCTTAGCTCAGATGAGGGTTGCTGGAAGGACTGGGGAGTCCATACTGGGAAGTGCCACTTGAGGTCCTTCATGCGAGTGGCTCATCCTCCAAGCCTCCTGAGTAGGTAGGAGGGGAGAGGACCAGGTGGCCACAGGAGAACTGAGCCCAGAATTGTGGGAAATGCCTTATTTCTAGTCTTTTCTATCCTCCTTGTAGGTCAACTTCTACCTCCAAGAAAATAGAATGGATCTTGTGGGGCAAGAATGAAAGGACCCAAGAAACCATTGTTAGCACAGACCCATCCTTGAGACAGGCTTAGGCCACAGCAGGCTGGGGCCCTGCAGTCCAGGTCATCAAAATGGGGAGAGGGTTGTTATTCTGTTGTTCTACCCAGGTGCTGACAGCCTTCACTCCAGCCTGCCGAAGGGGTTTTGTTGGAGTCTCCTGTGCATGCACTGAGATGTTGTGTTTCCCAGAGACAGTGGGCTCCCACAGTCACTGGGGTGCCAGGGCTAGTGGTGAGGGAGTAAGGTGCCCAGCAGGTTCCCACCCGGATGGTGCCACCCACAATTCAAACCCAACAAAGTGAAAAAGAGAGTTGAATTTCAAACTTAACAGAAGGATTTTAGATCTTAAATTGCCAGAGAGAATACAGAAAGCCCAATTATCCTTGAATTTCAGATAAACAGCAAACAATTGTTAGGATTAGTATGCCAAACTAAAAAAGTCACTTGCTGTTTATCTGAAATTCAAAGTTAACGGGGCGTCCTGTATTTAATTTGCCAGATCTGGCAACGCTATTTAAATGTTATACTTGAGTGAAAAGCGCTCAGCTCAGGGCCAGGCTCTGTAGCTCTTGCTGTTATTATCAGCTCACCCGATCTGTTCAGAGGCCCCGGCAATTCTTGTCAACCATGTGCACATGCACTTGGGCCCCCACCTGGCGCTGATCTACAGAACAATAGAAGCCTTCGCCATAGAGAGAGCCTCTGTCTCTTTTTATCCCCCGCCCAGGTACAGCTGCTTGAGAATCTGGGTTTGTGTGATATGGGCCAATCTGCTTGCTTTGTTTCCTCCACAAAGGTGCCATTCCATTTTGAAACATCCTATGTCCCTTTATTTGCTTTGATTTACAATGAATAGTTGTGACTAAACAAGCATGGGATTATTTTAATTAACCTGTTGATGTTAAACTGCAGATTTTACTGATACTCAAGAGCACAATGGGTTTGTGCTGTGCTCTAGGTCCAGACACCTCTTTAGGATAGGGCTAAAGGATGGGAGAAGATCAGATGTCACAGGATAAAGCCCTAACTCTGTGTTGATCGTAGGCAATGAATTAGGGTCTCTCCATTGGTTCTTTGCTGCTGTAGGATCGCAGAGCCCTGATTGAGTTAACATTCTCAGAGCACAACTCACTGCTAAAGACCTGTGCCCTTCTAAGGGAAAACCTTGTGTTTAAAATTAAATTAAATTTTCAAAGGTTAGGGTTGGGGGAGGAGGGTGGGAGCCATAGAAGGAAGGAGGAAGAGGGGCTGTAAGTTCACAACTCTCAGAGAAATCTTAGCCCAGCCAGGGGACGGGGTGCTTCAGCTCAGTGCTTGGCTACTGGACCCCAGAATTATGGCCACCTGCACCCCTCCCTGTCTAGAGCAGAGCAGACCTCACCTAGAGTCTCCTACCCTTAGATTTAGCTTACCTGATGCTCTTGGGAACTAACCTCTGGCCTCTGATTTGAAGAGAAAAATCTGGGCCCACAGGCAAGTTCTCCTAGGAGCCAACTCTGAAGCATGCAGACAGTTAACTGAAGAAAGCCAGATATCATGCCGAGCTCCAGGTCTGCCCCTGCTACCTCCAGCTGGTGCCTCCCAGAGCCGACCTCTGAGAGATTGCAAAGTGTTCGGAGACCACAGCAGTCTCCCTTCTGTCGTGCCTTGCCAAGCTGGAGGAAGTCATCACCATTTTAACTACTGTGGACAGGGCGGGACTCATAAAAAATGGCCAGAACACAAAGCTTGGTGGGGATCAGCTCTACAAATTAAAAATAAATTAATAAATACATCCCTATGTTTTTCCTTCATGGAGATAAAGTGGGTTTCGTTAAACAAGAACTAGGTTCTGGTGGGGAGGGAATTGTGGCTGAGGAGAAGATATGTTTGTTGGTGTTTCTGTTGGGGGAGGCCCCCTCCTGTCGGGTTTGGAATAAGTTGGGAAATAAAAGAGGACAGAGGTCAAAAGATGGAGAGACACTGGAGGCTATGGCTTAGCGTGAGAGTCCAAGGGCGTGCTGAAAAACCCACAGGCGTGCAGAGCCAGGCAGGCCAGGTGCTGCCCTTGGAGGAGCAGATGGAAATAAATCCTCTCTCGTGCAGCTCCTTCCAAGAGAAAAAGGGAGGGCAAGGCTGGGCGAAGATGCCTGGCAATTCCTCCCAAATTTACCAATGTAGCATGTCACTTCACTCCCAGGGGCAGGGTAGACAAACAGGAAGGGTCCTTCTGGAAGCACCAGGAATGGGGAAAGCCTTGCAGTCCCCCCAACTCCTACCCCACCACCCCCTCCTCTCCACAAGTGACAGAAGGGCCTTCCTGGAAAAGGATTCCATACGTGCTCCAGCGTATGCAGAAAGGAAAGGTCACCGGGGTCTGAGTGGGAGCCCAGGCTGCTGAGCCTCCCTCCTCCAGCCATCAGGGTAGCAGGCGAGCACCCTAACTGAGAGGCAGAAACCCATGGGTTACCCTCTGCCTTGAACACATACCCTGCTCTTCCCCTGACCTCAGATGGAGGCACAACTGTCTTCCCGTGGTGTTTGTATAAACAAACACTTATGTCCACGACTTCTTCCCCAAGATAGGATGGGCTCTTGCAGCAAACCTAAGAACACAGAGTGGCGTGAAGAACACGAAGTGGCTCAGAAGGCTCCGGGGAACATCATGGGAACCAACTGGGTGCTGCCAGGGCCCAGCTTGTTCTCATAAAGGCAGGAGGGCCACTTATTTTACAAATGCTGAGTGAGCCTCTCCAGGGCGCCTGGAGCCAGGAGGTCAGGGACCAAGTCAGCGTCATCCACCACCCTCTCCCCAGCCCCGGGCCCAGGGCCGGGCACACAGTGCGCTCTCAGGCAGCGGTGTTTGATTGCCACTTGCACTGTCCTAAGTGCTGGCAATGCCATGGTGAACGAGGCAGCAGTGTTCCTGGAGAGTCCCCTGCGCTCTTCCCCGGGACAGGTGAGTGCTGTGTATCACAGCGGCAGTGAGGCTGCCGGCAGAAGGTGAACCGACGCTGCCCAGCACACAGTAGTGGGAAGGGTGTAAGCTCATGCAGCTGCCACCAGCCACCACTCACCCATCCTCTTGCTTCCTAGGAAAACTCTCCCTGGAGGAGTTCATCCGAGGGGCCAAAAGCGACCCGTCCATAGTGCGCCTCCTGCAGTGCGACCCGAGCAGTGCCGGCCAGTTCTGAGCCCTGCGCCCACCCATTGAATTGTAGAGCTGCTTGTGTTCCCTTTTGATTCTTCTTTTTAACAATTTTTTTTTTTGCCAAACAATATCAATGGTGATGCCGTCCCCTGTGCGGTCTGATGCGCCTTCCTCCGTGACGCCTTCAGCTTCTTTTGTCGTGGATGCTTCGTGGGAATGCCCAGAGCCCCAGTGTGCTTGTGGAGAGCATGGACAGACTTTGTGGTGTTCATTGTTTGACGGTTTTTAAGCGTTACTATTATTTTTTCTTTTGATTCTAATGTCTCTGTTCTAAAACCTAAGACTCGGGGGTGGGGGGAAAAGAAGGGAAACCCATCCAGTCCCGTGATTCTATTGCAAGCTTCAAGGGGCTTATTGTTTGAAAGACAAAACTCCCCGCCTGGGTCTGTTGTCATACATGCCGCTGTAGGGGTGATGGATGGCAGCGGAGGCTGGATTCCCCAAGAACAAGTTACCCTCTGGGGTGAGGCTATTCCAGGGAGCTGGGACATTTCCCCATGGGGGCCCACTCCCCCCTCTTCCCCAGCAGGTTGTAGTTTCTAAGCTGTGAACATTTCAAGGTAAATTAATAGAGGAGAGGAAAAAGATGGCTCAGCTATTTTTTCACAGGTTTACACTAGTTGAGCTAATATGCATGTCTTTGGAAATTAAACACAAATGGTAACCTAGTTCAAAACCAGACCCATCTTGTTGCCTATTGTGATAAAATAAAAAGACTGCTGTATATAACATATTGGGTATTGCAGACCAAATTAAGTGTTTTGCCTTGTTTAAATGAAATGCATGTTTAGTGAGCACTAATACAATCTTATTCCAGAAGACTGTTTTTAGTAGCTTATTGTGAAGTAAGACAACTATAATGAATGTCTATGTCTTGTTTTGAAGTCATATCTGTCTTTGCACAAATGTACCAATCGACAAGTATATTTTATATATTCCATAAAAATACAAAGTAACCCTGACTAGGGCCCAACCTTAATTTTGAATGCGTTTCCAGAGTGGCCGTGCCTAGAGGGCAGATGCAGAACAGGTGGTAGTGGGACAGGACAATTGGAGCACAGCAATGTTAACATGTATTACGCGGAGCCAGGAGTGTGGTTTGCCTCCCAGGCCCAGCAGCCCATTGACAGCATTAGACTGGCGGCATGGTGCTTTTCTGAGCAGATCAATACTCTGCAGACTCGAAAAAAAAAAAAATTGCATACATTCTTGGAACTTCCCAGTGGTTTAATCTGTGTGCATGGTTAGGGAGCCAGGTCTGGAATATTCAGTTTCCCTGCCCCTGTTAAAAAGTCAGAGGTTGGGCAGTCATCAAATTCATCATAAAGACAAGGGCAAGTGCATCTGTGGTTTCCAAGGCCCCCCGATGGAGAATCCAAAAGTATTTTCCATTGCTGTGCTCTTTGAATGCAGACTTCTATTTCCAGAAGTGACAGCACAAGTCTGAGTTGCTGTTTGGTCTGGTGACCTCAGACACACTGATTTGAATTCAAAGCTAAGAGTGAAAATTTGCTGGTTACAGGCGAGTCATATTCTCGCAAGTAGCTGGCAAAGGGAGGCCCAAATACTTGAGGTTGTTCATGGGGAATTTGCCCGTAAGAGAAGGCAGAGAGGTCCCCAGTGGGTATATTTACTGCCAAGCCACTTGCCGAAGAACAGGAACCACAGAAAGAGAGACATCGTAACCAGGAGAAAAACGTGGCCGAACATGCTAACCTCCAGGTTTCTATGTATGACTTGAGTCTGCTGTAACTGGTAGCAGAAATCCAAATTTGTATGGTAGACCAAGAAGAACCAAATCTGTACGGTGAAACTTTGAGACCTAGACTCTATAAAAATAATCCGAGTCTTTCCCCAGGGGTCAGTTCCTCACAGTGGTTCTATACCAAGACTTGCCAAATTCCTCCATGGCCAAGTGTTAAAACCTGTTTTTGAAAACTAGCGAATTAACCTAAGACACAGAAGGCAGACTGGGTGAGGAGACCCAGCATGCCCTATTGGCAGTGCTCAGGAGCTGCATCGCACTTTCCCCTGCTCTGGATCGAAGTCCTAATTCCTTCCTTTAATTCTCCTTTGGTAGCTGGAATCAGTTAATGTTTTGAGAAACTTGCCCGGGCTCTGCCCTTAGTCAAGACATCTCGTTGAGCCAGACCCACTCTGTTCCTTGGAACCTAGAGCTGGAGTGAGGACTAGAGGTCTCCAGCTATTCCAGAAAGAAAAATGAGCCACATGCAGGCCGATGAATGCCGACACTTCCAGAATGTATGGAAACGGTCCCTGTCCTGGCCTGCCACTGACCCTGTCTATATTTTCTCGGAGGTGGCTTTTCTCCTTCTCCTTCCCAGGAAGGTCTTTGTATGTCAAATCCAACGCACTCAAGTTTGGCCAAGGGACTCCACAGCACCCAGAAGGCTGCATGCCTCAAGGTTTATGTCACTCCTCTGCTGGGCTGTTCATTGTCATTGCCGTGTTCAGGGAGCTTTGGAAATAAAACCTGTTCTGTCCCAAATAAAACCAGCCTGTGATGTTCAAGGGACTGGAATAAAGTGGCTTATGACCTGAAGGATTCTACAGAGTGTTCGACTGTTCATACCTCGTTCAGAGTCGGGGGTTGGGGGACTGGGGGTGTTGTCCCATCCCATCAGTATGCCCACGGTGGATTTAATAATATATAATTTATAAGTCATAGCCTATGGAGTGGCCCGTATATCAGTTGACTGTGTAGCTCTTGCCTGGCATTAAAGCATGTTTTTGGTTTAACATGATTGTCTGGAACATGAGATTTTCATGCTGAAACTGCTGCCACAGCTGAATCTGTGCCTTATTGAGGCTCTAGCTTCTGATACTGCCTTCCTCCTGGGTGTTCTTCCTGCCTAGAGCGACGCAAGGAACCAAGGTGTGTGAGTGGGGGATGAAAGAGGCTGCTGACCCCAAAGTTCTGTTCCAAGGCATCCTTGGTCTTCATATGAGCTTCCTTACATCCCTCCCTCCATGGTCTCCACTTTCTTCCCATCTCCTCCCCTTCCTCAAACTATAGTCCAAATGTTAAGTACAATAAAAGGAGAAACTGAGGCAACCTCCCCTTCAGTGGGATCTGGGTAAGCTTCAGGAAATAAATAATCTCTTCACCCCTCTCAACCTGAGAAGATTCAGTGAAAAAGAAGACATGAGGCAGAGCCTACACTCTGAAAACCAGTTCCGATCACAGTGTTGGCTATTGTTGCTGTCATTGGCCTTGCCTCCAGCACAGGAGGCTGTTAATGTAGAGAAAAGGAGCTGCCAACTTGCTAACTTGAGTGTTAGCCAAGGGAGAGCCTCACGGGCCAACTAGACCTTGTGTGGGGGGTAGAGTTGCCCTTGAGGGAATCTTTTCCTACTGCACACAGTCGGCCACTATGGACCAGTGATGGCCCTGACACCATGAGTCCTGAGCATGAATAACACAAGTCTGATCCTGAGAAGGTGTCTGGGTGTCTCCAGTCTCATCAGAAGCCTGCCTACCAGCAACCTGGGAATTTCCAGCAAATTTCCAAACCCGAGGCTCCTATTTTCAGGGCATTTTCCTGCTGCCCCAACCCAACTGAGTCCCCACACATCCTAGTTTGGTACCCACCAGCTGAGGAAGAGTCCAAGTGTTCTCTCAGTCAAGGTAGAAAGGAGAACACAAGAGCTGCCTTTGAAGGAATGGACCTCCTTCTCTTGCCTGGCTTGTCTTTGCCAGAAGTATGGTGAACGCTTTCCCGAAAAATTCTGGTTTGGAGGTGGCCGAAGAAACAGAGAAAAAAACATTGAGTCTATGTTTTCTAAGTCAGTAGAATATCAGTCAAATCCACCTGGAACAGATGATTGCATAGGGAAAAATATTCAGACTGAGGGTATCACCAATGATCTATTCATTTCAAGCAGAGTTCTCTACAGTTGAATGCTGACCACATGTCCAGGACTTAGACAGGTCCTGGGCACTTGCGGTACTGGGTGCTAACGTAAAATGCATGGTCCCGTACACCCTTGGGGATGCACACAATGATTACTCTGAGAGCATCCCAGTCTTATTTCATGACTTCTTTTCTAACACTATTCCAGGAAATGGCTGACATTTTAATAGTTCTCTAAAAGAAATGGTGAAAATGCTTCAAAGTGCAGGGGTAGCAGGGCCTTCCAACCCTTATTAAATACTCACCTCTGCTACCAATACATAATCCTCATGAAGACAGACAGGTAAAGACACTGTCTCAAGATGTATTTTTTTTCCAGTACCAGTATTTAATCACTTTATTGGGTTCCCGTTGAGTGTCCAGTGGCGGCCGAACACAGAACCAAGCACTATATGCAATCTTGGAGGTAGGCATGGGGGTGGGGATGGTCGGGGTTATTAGCAAAGAAGCAGGAGACCAAGCTCACAGCCAATGCCTTGAAAACAATTACAAAGTAGCTTACACCTCCATCCCATGGCAGAACAGAAATCAAGTTCTTTCCACAGTGGTCCATGAGGGGTGTTTGCTGCCAGGGATCAAGCGGGTGATGTTCACCTTGGTGCCTTTTCACCATCCTCTTCCTCTTTCTTGCTGCTTCTCGCTGATCAGAGGCCCCACTGTAGAATTCCGGAGTCCCCAAAATTCATTCTTGAGTTTCTAAAATGAATCCCATGCACCCATTAAGAGAACTCAGAGACATATAGGGACGAAGGACTCCTGGGAAGAAAGGGCGTGTCGTACTAGGGTGATAGTGCAGAAAACCCACTCAGGGAAGTTAAGTGCAGCCTGACTGACTGTTTATTGGAGACTTTTTAAAAGAAGGGGTTGGCCTTGCTGCAATCTTCCCTTAGGAGAACCTACAGCTGAGAGCAGAGTGGCCTGCCAGGCTCCAGGTGCCATGCCTGTGGAGCCCCTCTGAGGCCATGCTCTCCCGGGAGGTGAATGGCTGCACACAGCAGGGGCATTAGGACCGTGGCTGTCTGTGGCAGGGGCATTAGGACTGGGCCTTCTTGCCCAGAGTGGGACTCCTCCTGTGGGCGACCATTGCCTGGGGCTCCCCACTGACCTGGCTGAGACTTTCTGGGAACTGTGCTATGGTCTGAGACTTTTCCCACATGGACTTCCTCCAATAAATCTACTAAACTTCTAATCCCATCATGTCATCTACATCTTGGAGGACCTCAAGTGACACAGCGACCTTGCCCTTAACCTTCCCATTGACCCCCCAGGAACAAAGAGCTCCAACCGTTGAGTCGGCAGCCTTCCCAAAGTGAGGATCACGGTGGTGACTTCTCGTCATATCCAGAATGTCTAAGGGTAAGAGGGGTCTGTGTGTCTTAGGACTAGGGAGATGACAGCCCTGACTCTCCCAAGGCAAATGTTTGTCATTGTGCTGATAGACACCAGATCACTATCCTTTTGCACCCCGCCTCCTATGAGGGCAGACTATGTCTAACTTGCCTCTCTCTCCAGCACATGGCAAAACATCAGGTCCAGAGTAACTGAACTGAATCAGTGTAGAGAGTGGAAGGCAAGAGCTGGTACTAGACTTCACGACAATGACAATTAGCCATCATCGCCTATCCAACCAGCATCTCATTCCAGGGAGCTGGGTGGCACACATGGTGAGCACCTAACAGCAGGACCGTGGCTGCCACAGGCCAAGGGGGAGGCTGTCTCGGGAGATGTGGAGACCAACTCGTGCCCTCAGCTGGACCTACTTGGGCAGCTGGGGAGAGCACCAAGACCTCCTAATAAGGCTGTGGAACAGTCATGACAACACTCCTTGGGGCCCGTTTCTAATCCCAGGATCTCTCCAGAAGGCTCTGCAGTGAGCGCTTCCTCCAGCCCCTCACTTCCCAGCCCCTGGTCTAGGCATAGAGGCCACTGGAGATGCCGCTGGAGTTGAAGTCGGTCAAGAGAGGCTTCCTAAAGGCAAATGTTTAGCGAAGATTTGAAAGCTGTGGACATGGATAGACAGAGAGATGGGAAGATGTAGAAGAATGTAGAAACGCTACTTGTTTGGAACAGAGCTGCTCTTGGGAGATAATCATGGACAGTGGTTAAAGGAGTGTGGGCAGCCCCACAGAGTGGTGCCCACCAAGGAAACCCCAGCAGATACCGGGATAGTGCATACAGGTGTTCACGTTGGAGCCAACAGATCCTAAGGAGCCTGTGGGTTCCAGGGCAAGAGACTGTGAGAAAACTGGAGTTTGAGCCACATGGTTTCAGCCTCCATGCGGAGGTTGGTGCAGGTGAACTAAGGAAGCAGAAAGCTTTTGTGGAAATTCAAGGGCGAGCAAGTGTGCCTGGGAGATAGGATGGGCAGAAGCAAGTGAACAGAACCAACTCCCTGCCCCAAGGGACTGGCCAAGAATAACCACCCTGGGGAGCCTGCCATGGTCACACAGAAGCCTTGGAAGTCCTTCAGTCCTCCTCACATTTAACACTGGGGTGAAGCACAGCAAAGTAACTTTACCAGGAAATCCCTGCTCTGTTGAAGCCCAGGACCTGAAGGCGGGGTAGGCAGCTAGAATTTTCCCACATCACACAGAGACCTCTCTCCAACCAGATAAAAATCCCCAATACTGGCCACGCAGAAAGCACCAGACACTGTTGTTTTACTCTTATGTTATGAATATTTATTTTTTTCTTCTTAAAAATGTACAAAAAATAAAATAACTGTATTTATAGTTTATAGATTCCCCCTCTCCCATTTACAAAACTATTAAGTTACATTTACCTTTTTTTTAAAACATGAGAGCAAATTGTACATATATCAATCTCCCTTGCTTGTCTTTAAGAAAGGGCCGTTCATAGCATTTGGCACAAACCCTCTATTTCTGTTGCGTTTTCATGATTTTAAATAAGAAGGAAAATAAACATTTGATTCACTTCACGCTTCCTAAGTTTCTGGGCAGGGACATGCCTCACTCTTTTAGAAACCAATTCCAAGATGACATCTGACTGCATTTTTCTGTTGGTCTCAACTTCTAAACACTCATAAAGTCTAAACAATTTGGATATGTATGAGGAAAAACTCTTGTTCTGTTCAGTTCAGACTTTGTTTAAAAAAAGAAAGAAAGAAAAGAAAAATGTTCATTTCACATGTCCATGATCTTCCACGGATTTTTTTAAGCTTATTTATTTGAGTTTGATTAATTTAAGGGACAAAAAAGAAGAGGCGGCAAGTTTTCCTATCTCTTTGGAGTGTTTTGCTCGGGAAATTTTGCTCATCAAAGTTCAGCTAACATACACAGCGTACACATCAAAGGCAAGCTGGGGTGCTCCGAAGACGCAGAGGGGAACAGATCGAAAGGGATGTGGCACTCGCCACCACCCTCTGGTGGCACTGGCCTCAAATCCCTTGTTGTGGCAATTGTCACCACCATAATTGCTCAAGGACTTAGGAAACATGTGGAGCATCTCCAATTCATCTTCTGCCTTAGGGCAGGACTGGCAAACAGTTTCATAAAGAGGCTGGAGGGAGAGGGGTAGGTTGCCTGTATCAGGCTGCCAAATCTTTGTCTTTTTCCTACTCTGGAGTCCTATGCCCCAGCCCGAGTATTTGCCGTTGTTATGTCTGCCAATCGTGTTCGAAACTATTCCTAACCCTAGGAGCATGGGAAGTGCATAGTATGACATGTATTTCCAACACTGAATTTGTCCATCTCAGAACAGAGCCCCATTAGTACCCTGGAGGGTCCCCAAGCTGCTGGTCCAGGGCGTGGCAGTCAGAGTGGAGGAGGAGGGGACAAACTGGAGCACAGCTGGATCCACGATGCAAACCTTTGGCACCACAGGAAGGGTTAACATGCCCAGAGGACACACAGAAAGGTGACCCCTCACTGCCGCTCTGAGATCTTCTTGGGCACAGCACCTGCTCTCTGTCCCATTCAATTCCTCCGCAACCTCAAGGAGAAACAGCTGAGCTAGAAGCAGCCCCTCCATCCTGCTCTGCATCTCAGGGGCAGATGAGGCGGGAGCGCAGGAAGCCCTGAGAGAAGGGGCCTCCAGGTAAGAGTCAAAGTGCTTTACAAACAAATCTGGGCCGTTGTAGAGAACCTGTCCTAGACCCAGGGCCTTGGGTGCAGGATGTGTCTAACTACCAAAAAGCTAGTGCTTCAGGCCACAAGGGCGAACGCAAACCCCTAAACCTGTCCCCTCAAAGAGAACAGTGGCCCATGATGGTTCATCATTTTGTGACTGTTTAGGGGAGTGTTTTTCTCTTCCAGCTCCCAGGGCGTGTAGCAGGAGACGACAGCTTCTCTCTCCGTTTGCCTCCTGAGGCTGTTTTCACGGGAGCCAGGTCTCTTGGCACATTCTTTCTCACTCACTTCCTTAAAACCCAGCATGCAGGAGCGAGGCAAACAATCGCCCCTTTCCGTCTGGTGGCCCAGGAGGAAGCCCCAGCCAGCCGACTCAGGGACTTCGGCAGCAGGCCTTTTAAAGGGCCACTTGAGATGAAGGGCTTGTAAACTGGGAGGCACGGCACAGTGTCCAGGATTCTCATGATAGCCAAGGAGCTCTGCAGCAGGCCCAGTCACAGGGCCCTGATGGCAAACCCCTGCAGAGGCTCTCCAGAAAGCTCAGGCTGTGCCCGCAGCCAAAGCTGGAGAAGGAGCTGGGGTCTCAGACAGGATGGCCTTTCCCACGAGACAGCTCAAAGGGAGAGTCAAGGAAAACACATCATTGTGAGATAAACGTGGTGGCCTCGAAGGAGAGTCGTGCCCGTGGAGAGGGAGGGGGGCTTCCTCTGGGGACAGGGAACGAGCCCCCAGGTATGCCCACTGCAGAGTCCATCTCGGTATCAGCTGCAGTCACCTTAACATCCCAAAGGCCCTCTCCCTAGCCCGGCATGTCTCCTGAACAGGCACAGAGGCAAAAACCCCTGTTAAAATGGTCTCCAGGTCTGTGTCTCCTCTAGGCCAGTGGCAGTAAACATGCCCACATACCACAGGTAAAATATATTATTACAATATTATAAACACTATGTACAATGCAGACAGGCAGACTTTATGTGTTACTTACTAATTACACGGTGGCCGATGGTCTTCCTGTACAAGGCCTGGTGGCCACTTGCTGGGAACCCTGGAGGTATTTAGCAAGACGACCTTCCCCAGAGCAACCTGAAGGTGTTTGACCAGAAAGTGGGCATCCACCTCTCGCCCCACCTATGACTACCGCACCCAGAAGTAGCTCATTTTGTCCAGCCACCCGGGAGATGTGGAGGGGTGAGAAAGAAGGGATGGGAATTTTTTAGGCTGTTCGGGATGAGTGTTTCTCTCGAAGGGGGAATGCTGGACGGTCTCATCTGGAGCTAGCAGTGACCTGCAGAGTCCTGGAAGGCCTGGTCCCGGACTCCAGGAAAAGGTGGACAATAAATAGGAATCCGACAGGCCTAAGGCACTTTCCTGAGGGGCTCAGGATTCAGCTCCGTGGTAGGTGCCAGTGGACGGGCCAAGCACACCGACAGTGGGGCCTGTCCCTTGCCCCACTCCCCAGCATAGTCTTGTAACAGCAGTTGTGAGATGAGGGAGATGGGTCTCCGGGTTCTGGGGCCGGGGCTTCTGTCTCTCCCAGGGAGAAACACACTGAGAGCTCCAGCCAAAGTGGATGCCAAACCCAGGGCTAGATTTCCATGAGCGTGACCTTGAAGCCCTCCACCACGCTCTCCATGTTGAGGATGAAGGTGTCCTCGTTCGAGTAGTGCTCGATGATGTTGTCATCCATGTTCACCAAGATGCTGCCATGGAGAGGGGAGGGGTGTGAAAAACAAAGACGTGGTGAACAATGTGCCCAGGGCAAGGGGAGCTCCAGGCTGGGGGTTCTCATAGCCATTCTTTTGCGGTGGAGGCTGGGGGGAGTGGAGGAGAGAGGACACAAGGCAGGGAAAGACCCTCATTCTGTTTTCTTTCCCCAAAAACTAGTTTGAGGAAAGCAAAGCCTCAATTTTTCAGAACTAACTTTCAACCCAACCCGCTTGCTTTATAGATGAGTAAACTGAGGCCCAGGGAAGTTAGGAAGCCCAGAATGACAGAGTTAGTGATTACCAGGGCCAGGACCTAAATTATTAGGCCCCCTCTGTTTCATTAAACCATATTGCCTCTTGAAAATGCGTTTTTAAAAAGGCATTGCCTCTACTTTTAGGAGGAAGAGGAAAATAAGCAAGAATTGCAGCTACCCTTTTTTGAGCATGTTGACCTTGTATTTAGTTCTCACAGCGACTGTGAAGGTAGGTGTCATCATCGCCATTTTGCAAATGAGAAAACTGAGCTCACCAAGGTTAAATTGTTTCCCCAAGTTCATTCAGTTAGTGCATGGCTGAGCTTGATTTTGAAATTAGCTTTACCTCGTTCTGACACTTGTACTTTACCACCTATGACCTACTCCTTGGCTAACTATCCCTGGTAGAGTTTTAAGAAAGCCAACAGCTTCCAGAGACTTCCATAATTTCCTTAAGCCAATTTCATGATTTGAAGTCAGACAGATGCTAGTTTGAGAATGAACCACTGACTCTATCATTTTACAGTTAGGTGTCAGCAGGCAAGCTGTTTAGCCTTTCAGAGCCTCAGTTTATTCTTCTGTAAAAGTAAGAGCAGTCACCCAGCTTTAAAGGATTGTTTATAGGATAAAAACATTTAGCACAACACCTGACACAGAGCTTGATGAAAGCAAAATGTTATCATCAGCATGTACCTCTGCACTGAGGATTTCTGCTCGGCAATAAGACTGTGAGACACCACTCAAATCTCACTGTCAGAGGAGTACGCCCAGCCTACTACACTGACCTTGGCAAGAAGTATAATGTGCATTTTAGTGAATCTTCCAACAAGAGCTCAGGTGGAAAGGGTTTCCTGTCGGATCCTCCAATCAACCAACAGGACTCATCACTCAGAGAGCCTCAGCTTCCCAGATAATCCAATTTCCTTTATGAAAGTGATCCAGAGAACAGTTGAAAGACTCATCTTCTGCTTTTGGTAGGAAAATACCCCAGAAGCTGAGTCAACAGATACCCTCTCCTGGCACGTACGCTAGCTCCTGTGGCCCCTACTCTTAGACCCTTACACACAGAAAGTCAGACAGCAGAACCTGGGAGCTAAGCACTTGAGCTTTGAGGACACAGACTTGGGTTCAAATCTGTGCTCTACCTACTGAACATGAGACCTTAGGTGAGATGCTCAAGCCCCTCTGGCTTGCTTTCCTCATCAATAAATCAGAGATAAGAGATTCCACCTCATAGACTGGTGAGAACTAAATAGAGAAATACATGTAAAGTACTTAGGAAGGGACCACGAACCTACTGAACACCCAGTAAATATGACCTATTGTTCTTAACAATGAGAACACACAGGTCTAATGATCATTTGAGAACAGTTTCTTGATAATTACCTTAGAAGAATCCCCTATGTTCCAAACCATTTTTTGTTCCTAGTATGCCACCCAGAAACCAACCCCAAGGGCCATATGTGATTCCCTACAAACTCCACTCCCTGCACAAAGGTGACTTAGGCGTTCTCCCCAGTGTCCTCAGCACCTCCAGACTTCTGTGGTCTTCCTGCTCATCTTGTCATTGCAGTAGGGCATCTCAGCTGACATAGTGCCAATGCACTGCCTCCCTCCTTCCCTCTCTCCCTAAAGATCTTCCAAACCCAATCTGCTCTGCAATTCTCTGGAAGAAGGACACAATTTTTATGAAAAGTGGGCAACAGACCTAACAAAAGACAGGCATCATTTTATTTTTAAGGCATCATGTGGACTTATCTGATTTGAAAGTCAATTTAAGTTCAGTTTCTTTCTTACCCTTTTTTGCTTTTCTTGTAAAGCTTTGCTATCTTCTCCACAGGCAGCCCATATTTCTCAGATATCTGTAATACCAATAACAAGAAGGCAGATGAGCACAGAAGGACGCCCAACTGGAAGTAAGGGGGAAAGTTCCAATTTCACTCCCTTGGCCATTTTCCCGGGAATAGAGTGCTCTTCACTCATGAGTCAAACTCTCAAAACACTCATTTATGAGCCTCTCCCTTTGGATAGACTTTAAATCATTCAACAAAAAATTCAGCCTCGTGGGAATTCAATCTATGATAAAAGTGGCATTCCAAGTCAGTCAGAAAAAGATGGACTGTAAGTATGAAGTTGGATGAAATAGCCAACTAGAAAAAATTTAACAAGTTACATTGGATTCCTTCTCTACTCCTTACACCAAAATATATTTGATACAGATCAAAGATTTACATGTGAAAGATGAAACCATAAAAGTAGAGGAAGAAACCATGAGTTAATTTTTTGGATAGCTGTCATCTTAAAGTAAGGAAGATCTTTCTAAACAAGACATGAAACCTGAAGAAAAAGGTCAAAAGGTTAATAAAAACAACACAACTTTAAAAATGCAGTACAGAAAAAAAAGAAAAACTAGAATGCTGAAGACAAAAAACACACTGGGAAACATTTTTGCAACACAAATGACAGACATGGAACTAACTTCTTTAAGTTAAAAAGAACTGCAAATCAAAAAAAAAGATCAGCAATTCAATGAGCAAAGGAAGAAAAGTCCTGAAGAAGCAATTCACAGAAGAAAAGTAATTGGACAGTGAGCATATAAAAAAATGTACCACACAGTCATAATTTAAAATTTTCAAATTAAAGCAAAGTAGGGTACTACTTTTATTTATTTTTATTTATTTATTTATTTTGTTGAGATGGAATCTTGCTCTGGTGCCCAGGCTGGAGTGCAGTGGTGTGATCTCGGCTCACTGCAACCTCTGCCTCCCAGGTTCAAGTGATTCTTCCACCTCAGCCTCTGGAGTAGCTGGGCCTACAGGTGCACACCACCACACCCAGCTCATTTTCGTACTTTTAGTAGAGACAGGGTTTCACCATGTTAACTAGACTGGTCTTGAACTCCTGACCTTGTGATCCACACACCTCGGCCTCCCAAAGTCCTGGGATTACAGGGTGAGCCCCCGCGCCTGGCCTATTTTTCAAACTAACAAACAACTAAAACTTGATAATACAGCATCAGCCAGACTATGAGAAACAGCAGTTCTCTCAGATGTTACTCTCAGATGCAAGAATAACATGCTCAACCTCTTGGAAAGAAATTTGGCAGAAGCTATTAAAATTTAAAATGCATATATCCTTTGACCCACATATTCCATATCTAGTAATCAGGTCTACAGAAATACATTCAGATGTACACAAAGATTTTCAAAGCATCGTTGTTTAGAATAGAGAAAACTGCATATAACAAGCATCCATTAAACACATTTTAATCATTCACACTTAAAACTCATGCAGTCATCAAAAGAAATGTGGGAAGCCTATATGAATTCACATTAACAAAAATATTCTTAACATATTGAGGAGAAAATACCAAGTTGCAAAACTGTGTTTATAGTGTGATCCTACTTGTATTTATATATACATATGGAAGTACACAGAATATTTGAAGGATCCACCAACATATTAACAGGGACTACCCACTGAAGAATGGACAGAAACAAGGAGACCCTTTCACTTTTTATTTTGAAAAATTCTGTTCTATTTATTTTTACAATCATTGCGTTTCACTTTTATAAATATAAAGTAGTAATAGTTTACAGATGGATTTGGGAAAGCCCTGCCCTAAATGTCTTTCGTACCCTCTCTGCTCCCAAATCAAATATGTCTGCCCCTTCTGAGCCCAGCAGCTGGTAGGGCTCACAGGCAGCTGAGAAAGGTGAAGTTTGAAATGTGGATTATTGGAAAGTCTAGCAGAGGCTGGAAAGAGAGGCTGAAGAGGTCTAGAGCAGAGCTGAAGGAGCTTTGGATCCTAAGAAGAGTTCACTCTACAGAGAATCACAGATTCTCACCCTTCCAACTATCTCACCCCACAGGAAGAACTCCCCATTCCCTAATAAGGCCCAAAGGCACGGAACAGGTGAGCAGAGAGCTGGGAGAGCAAAAAGAGACTATGACCGAGCAGCGGGCCTGACAGACATCACTAAGCCACCACTGATGAGATTCTCTCACAGCCATACCTGAGCCAAACGAGCCAAGGATGAAAAACAACACATCCAGCGGGGGCCTTTGGACTGCAAAGAAAATTGGCAGAACTTCTGTTGGAGGCATCCATTTGAACAGAACATAAAAGAGCGCTTAAGAAAAACAGAACACTTGTGGAGCACACACATGTGAAATTCTGATATACAAATATGATTATTGATCTATGATTATTGATCTGATATACAAATATGATTTTTTTAAGTTGAGCAAATGAATAAAAGGATAGGTGGTCAATTTAGCAAACTTAATAGTGTCAGGAAAAATCAAGTCAAAAACAATTTCAAAGTGCAAAGCAAAAGGATAGAGCATACATGGAAATCATGACGGAAAAGAAGAAAGACAAAAACATCCTGGAACTTCCCAGACAGAAAGAGCAAGTTACCCCAAAAAAGGATAAGCCTGGCTTCAGTCTTCTCATCTCAACACTAGAAACCAAATGACAGTGGACAGGAACTCTTACAGACTCCAGGGAAAAAGTATTTCACTCCATAAATTCCATACACCAACAAGCTATCTCTCACTTATCAGGGTGAAAGAGCAGTGTATTGAAAAAATACAGTTGGCCCTCAGTATCTCCAGGTTCTGCATTCTTGGATTCAATCAGCCATGGATTGAAAATATTAGAAAAAATATGAAAAATAAAAGTACAATGGCAAAAAGCAATATGAATCAAAACAATACAGTGTAACAATTATTTGCATGGCCTTTAAAATGTATTACATATTATAAGTAATCTAGAGATTATTTAAAGTAATGGGAGGATGTGTGTGTGTTACAGGCAAATATCTATGCCATTTTACATGAGGGACTTGAGCATCTGTGGATTTGGGTTTGGAGGAGGTATCCTGGAACCAATCCTCCCGAGGACCTCAAGGGACCACTAGACTCACAAAAGAGCTCCATCCAAATAGCAAATGCATCCAAATGGAGACATCAAACTAGGGAAAGGGGGAAGGAAAAAAGCCACCAGTGTCATGCTGTAAACTTGAGTATACATAGCAGGGGTGTCCAATCTTTTGGCTTCCCTGCGCCACACTGAAAGAAGAATTGTCTTGGGCCACACATAAAATACACTAACACTAATGATAGCTGATGGGCTTAAAAAAAAAAAAAAGCAAAAAAAATTCATAATGTTTTAAGAAAGTTTACAAATTTCTGTTGGGCCATATTCAAAGCTACCTTAGGCCACATGCAGCTTGTAGGCCATGGGTTGGACAAGCTGGGGTTACATGGACTGCAAACGTGAAGTGTAAGTGCTAAATAAGGATTCTTGAAGTTAAAAAAGGACATAATACAAAGGAAAATCTAATCGTTTTCTAGAAATAAAGCACTAAGCTATTTTTGCAAAATCTAGAAGTTGAAAGTTGATGGGGAGAGAGCAGGCATTTCAACTGGCTCATTTTAGCAAAAAGAGGGAAGGCAAGGGAGAAAATATAGCCCTAAGGTCTCATCTCACAGAGGGAGGAGCGGAGCTGGAGGGCGCTGGTGGAGAAAATAGTTGAAAGTTTATTTTCAAATACTAGCAAAGAATTACTTTAAGAATTTGGAAAATTTAGGAAAAGTAAATAATAACTTTCAAATTTAAAAGTTGAAATATAACAACTTAGAATCTGACTGCAAAACTAAAGAGAAAGTAAGAAGAAGCCACAACGTGAAATAAATAATAAACAAAAAGATGGAAGAAAAATCAAGTGTATCAGTTATTATACCAAATGAGAATAAACTTCATTCTTCCAGTAAAAGCTAGAGTGTCTGAGTGAGTGTAAAAGAAAATAAATAAATAAATAAAGAGAAAGAGAAAGAAAGAAGCTCAGTTGTATGGTGTTTAAAAGAAAAGCACTGAAGACAGTGTGGTGAGTGAAGGATGACTGATGGGTGACCACACCAATCAAATGCAAACAGAAGCAAAAGAGGAGTGACAAGGTATAATTTAAGGTTGACGAGGTTAAGAATGGATATGATATAATGATATGATATACGGATATGAATGGATATGATATATGATATAATGATAAAAAGCACAATTGATGGAGAAGCTACAGCAATCATAAAACTTTATGCATCCGATAACATGGCACTTAAGCAAAAATTATTATAGGTAATTATTACAGATGTAATAATTTTTGCTTAAGTGCTTTGCTTTTGCAAAATGAAAGTTCAATTATTATGGGAGATTCACTTGAAAACCTTGAAACAATGCAATTATAGTGAGAGATTTCAATAGACCTTTTTAAGAATTGAACAAATCTAGTAGACGGATAGGTAAAAACAGTTGGATAATCATTATACTTTATATAATATACACACACCTATAACACACATTTATATATAGATATACACACACAAATATTATAAATATTACATATTCTAAAGAGATTCTCCCATGGATTGGGTAACAAAGATAAGCTACGTTGAATCACAATTCAGTAAAATTAGAAATAAAAATGTTGTAAGTTTCCAGAAATGTTTAAGCTCTTCTAAATACTTCTATGTAACCCTGGCTGTATAGCAGCTCACCATCTCTTTAGAATATCAAATTCCTTTAGCGACTGCTTGAGAAGAATTATATCTGTCTAAACGAACACTAGAAAGGTTCCTCGAATATTTTAATGCTGTTAATGCTGTTTCCAAATCTGGTGAAACACTCAATAATGTACGGTTGACATAGCTTTCATCACGCCTCCCCCAAAATGCCGTTTGGAAGAATTTATGCTTTCTTTCTCTCTTCCTCCCATGCCTGGCATCTGCTCTGTTTGTCAATGTCTCCTGGTGGCCATACTTGCACATGCAAATTAAAAGGGAATTGTCAAGGGGAGCTGGT